CAACCGCACCGCCTCTGACACACCCATCCCGATTACCCCAGTCACCAAATCAATCCATCTCATGGAGGGTCTTCCCCTCCTGCGCTGTAGCCATCAGAAAATTGAAATACTTAGGAATAAACCTACCTGGGGTATAAAAGACTTAGCAAAGGCTAAAGAAGAAACTAGAACAACAGGCTAATTGACTACCCACCACAGTCTCCACAATGGTCTTATATCAGAACTAGATGGTGTCTGTCTAGAACTACCACTCACTGTGATTGGAGACACAACAAAAGAGATTAGAGCAAGAAAAATGCAGAATAAAATAAATCACGAAAAAAGAAGAGACTTTGGTCTGTGTGGACTCACAGCTGACCCTTTAGAGTAGGTTTTCAGAGGCTATAAATTCCATGGGAGCTGATAGCCCATCTTTCTCCAGCAAAGCAGCTGGTGAATTCCAACTGCACATTTGCACTGGCAGTGCAATTCCTTGCTGCTAAACCATCAGAAGCTTTGGTCCAACAGATCCTGGTTAAACTCCTGAGCCTATGACACTTAGAGATCCTTCAAACCTGGAACTGAACCTACTCCTGAGATCACCTTTCAGCCAAAAAATAGGTTTAAAAGGTGAATTAACACATATGAGGTGACCAAAAGGACAAGATTTACCCCAAAACAAAAGTTTGGGAGGTAGGGAGGGGCAGGAAAGATGGACCAGTGGAAATGGGGAACCCAGGTCAGAAGTGAGACAACTACTGCTATGTAGAAGGGATTGCAACTATAATGCCAAAACAAACAAACTATAAATTTTGAATGGGAAACTGCTTTGAAGACTCATGCCATAAAACTGGGGAAAACAGTCAATCATCATCAGTCTCATAGAGCTTGATCTAACACGCGCAGCCTTGTCCTGCCTTTGTCGCTGAGTAGACTAGATAGATTCTCTTCAGGATATGCACGTCCAGAGCACCAATCCTCTCTGGACACAGAAAGGTGGAGCCCTAACTACTAGCCCAAGATTTTTGCTCTCTCGAGCAAATCCCACATATGCTCATGTTACTCATCACTCTACCTTAGGTGGATTCAGCTCAGAAAGGAGATGAATTAAGGTCACACCGTTCACAAATGAGTGAAATGAGCAGATATGCAGGCGTCTCCATGCAATGGAGTGGGCGGAAAACTGGACATTGGAGCAGTCTGAGAAACGATGAGCAGGAAAAGCGAGGAGACAATGGGACAGAAGATGAAGACGTGAGGCACACAGGCTCAAGGACATGCTGGTAGCTGCATGCAGGAAGCTGGATCTCTCACACGAGAGCTGCACGTGCAGGGAAGGAGTGCAATCTGGCAGGAGGCGTGGGCATGTGCGTTGGAGAGGGATTTACACGGGAAAGGGCACCTGCTAAAATATTTATAAGTTGATCAAGAAAACATGTTTTAAAAATGAAAAATAAACAGATGTATGAGTGCAATGCAAGAGAAATACATTATGCGAGTTTGCAAAAGCCAAGTGGCATGTAGGCGATGATGGGAGTGGGGAGTTAGCATGCTGTCCTCCATGTGGGGCTATGAGTTGTGTGTGGGCATGCTCTGGGCTGAGCAGGGCAGAACCCTGACGATGGTGCCAGCCACACCTAGACAAGAGAGAAGCCAGCAACATCTAGACATAGACTCCAATGTAGTGGAAAATGTGAACTTGTAAACTAAAGATTAGTAAGTCGGCAGAAGACGCCCTGTGTTTATTTTGCTTATTGGGTAATCTAATAATAGGAATGGATGTCACTGGCTGTATGAAGAGGGCCTCTGTAAAGTCGTTTGGTCCTGAAACCTCACAGACTGTGCTAATGCAACCCTGTACACCCTGTGGGGTTGTGTGGGATAGGGATCTTGCCCAGGGCAGCCAGAAGTCACCCTTGCTCCCAGCCTCATCTCTTGCACTCAGACCAGGAGTGAATATGTGCATAACATTTCTCCACCAGCAGGTGGTAGATAAGAAATAAAATACAGCCTGACTGGGCTTTCTGAGGGACACATATACCCACATCCCCACATAACTTACACATGTGATTATGCATTCCAGACCTTTCTAATTTGGCAATTTGTAAAGTGAGGAGCAATCCTCCCTAGGTATCAGGAGAGGAAGCCCAGATTCAATGCAGCTATATCTTCTTGGCAAAGGCACCAATCCTCCTATGCTTACTCATCTGTAAAATGTTCAAGGTCACTTTCCTGGGAAAGTGCAATGGGATGCCACATGCAGCAATGTTTTTCTCTTTCATGAGAAAATGTGGATTAGAGTTATTTTACTAGCTGAATAGGAGCGCCAGGGCAGTAATTACCACTAACCACTGCTGTTTAGTTGATTTTCAACCCATCTCTTTATGAAGACTGTAAATTGTTATAAGGAGATCCTATCTTCCCCCTATGGAGTCATTGGTGGTTAAGAACTTGTGACCTTTTGATTGGGAGCCCAAAGTACCACACCACCAAGCATATGCTATGATGCTGAACACTCTCATCTGTGCTAGAGTCAACTCTGCTTGGTTTGCTACCCAAGCCCAGTAGGCTTTCAGAAGCCTCACCCCCATCAGCAGGGATGACCTACTTCCTTATGAAGTTTCTATTAATCTGTTGTTGTAAAAACAACATTAAAGGAACATTTTTAAGAGAGAAAAAAAAGAAAGTCATAATCCCTTCACCAGAATAATCACAATTTCCAGTAAATTTTGGGCAACAGACATTTCTATTATAGAATAGAGATGATTATTAATCAGAGATGATTAAGACTCTCATTGTCCTCAAGGAACCTACAGTCAGGGATGGGGGTAAGGAATAGGCAGATGATAAACAGATCATTTATGACTAAGAAGTTTTGGTGACACAGTAGTTGAATGCTTGACTGCTAATCAAATGGTTGGCAGGTCAAACTCACCAGCTGCTCTGTGGAAGAAAAGGTCTGGAAGGTTGTTTCTGTAAGATTATTGTTGTGTTGAGTATGATTCATAGCGGCAGTATGAACAGCAGATCCGAACCCTGTCCTATCGCACAGCATCCTTGGACACACTTGAGCCCACTGCTGCAGCCACTGTTATCAATGTATTTCTTTGAGAATTTTCCTCTCTTTTGCTGTCCACATTTCCTAGCATGATGTCATTTTCCAAAAATACCCCCTTCTAGCAACTTCCCCAAGTAGGAGAGGAAAGCTTTCACTATTCTGGTCTCCAAGGAGCGTTCCGGCTATACTCTTCCCCAAGAACTAGACCTATCTGTTTGTTCTTCTGGTTGTCCAGCGAATATGCAGTCTCAAAGGATCAATTTTTCTTTTTTTTTTTTTTTAAGTTACAATAAAAATTTTTATTCACGTTTGGTCAGTACAGGTACCAGATATATTGGAGTCACAGAACCATATGCATTAACAGGATACAACAATTTATAAAAACTCAAAGTATGCACACAATTTCTTAAATATTCAGCCACCTAAAGAGAAAATGCACAGATGTATGGTGGAAAAAACTTGTTTTCTAACACAGGAACTACTACAGGACCCCATCAACAAGTCCAACTTTTAGTGAGAAAACTAGTGTAGTGGGCAAACTTGGCAGTCATCAACCACATCTATTATAATAACTCTGACTGTTGCGTAAGTATAATAACAGCAGGAATAAGAATGCCCTTACACAGCACAGGTTCTAGATATACACAGATTTATACAGACATCATTGTGTTATACTTTAAGAAAGATTTCCATTTACAACTTCACATTAACTCATATAAAAATAACTTGACCCTACACAAAATGTC